AATCCTAACCTTCTGGATTCTTCAACACCTCTAGTTTTGAATTTCTAGACTTATCTCACTGTATCATACTTCTTGAATAATATCTTCGAATCCTAACCTCTCTGATTACTCCCAATACCTTTACTACCTCTTCTACTTCTATTGGATTTGAATTGACAATTACATCTCTGTGCTGATGTGGTATGGCGACATGAACTGATGTACTTACGTACGAAGTTCTACGTTGCAAATGACTGACTGAATGACTGAATCCAGAGTGTAAGCATTCGCATGCAAGACCGAAGTTTCTAGGTTCCAATCCTAAAAGAGAAGCAGGAGTCAATGGATGCGCACCGCTTATGAGTTCTGTACTAGGGACGAAATGACCGCCGTCCAGTGCTTCTGAGCTCCTCCTAATGGTGGTGTTTAACAATGATTGATTGATTGATGATTTCAAATGTGTAACAATAATTAGGAAACTAGTTGTTATTCAAAATTTTTCCACAAGAAAAAAAACCTGATATGTGAAACTGAAAAAAAAACGCTTATCCGCTAATGTTCATCAACAGGTGTAAAAAATCTGTTTTAAATACAAAAGACTGTTTTTCATTCTTCTGAAAAGAAAAGTGTTTGCATCACTTTATCAATTAGAGGTGAATCCAATGGTTTAATCTTACAGTAGCGACTAAGAGCAGAAGACATAGAGAAAACACAATACGCTACTAAACTGATTACAATTGAAAAGACGATGTCCATGATTCTACATAGGCTTAAACAGTGCTCGAATGATTACATCACACACGTCCCATGTAATAGTTTACATGTTTGTGTGAACAGACATAGATATGGGGAGGAGTAATCGGACTTAGTAATCAAGGGGGTTATGGAACTTGTTCCAAAGAGGCTGCAAAATCAGTTAACACGTCAGATGAGCCGATAAACTTGGGAAATAGAAAACCATCTTCATTGATCGCAAAGCACATAATTGTCAGTCAGTCAGTTGCAACGTAAGAACTTCGTACGTATGTACTTCATGTTGCCTTACCACATTAGCACAGAGACGCAAAAGTCAAATCAAATACCATAGTGTTAAAGATAGTAGGGGTATTGATGGTAATGAAGAAGACTAGAGTTTGGAGATATTATTCAAGAAATATAATTCAGTGAAATAAGGTTAGAAAGACAAAGGTAGGGGTGCTGACGAATCCAGAAGATTAGGATTTGAGAGAGCTCAAAGAGTGGATGCACCTGCGCCATTGCAAACGATTTTGAGCCATGTCATTCAGGGTATCTAACCATCGATTATTATCATCTCGCGGACCACAACCACGTAGTCGACATTTACCGACATGGCTAAGTCCACCCGTCAATGACTTCATGGATTTCTACCATGTTTTGGTTTGGCCTCCCCTAACCTTCTTCCAACCTATTCCTACACTACAAAACAAAGCTCGTCGAAGTAGTCGGTGGTTAGGCATACGTAATACATGTCCCAACCACCTCAACTGATGAAGTTTCAGTACTTCATCTATTGATCTGCCATTCTTACCTAGCACCCGATTCCTAATAACAGCGTTGCTCACTCGGGTGTCCCACGATATAATAATGGTAGTTAGTGTAACAATAATTGATTCATGATTTCATTATATAGAGATCGCCTCTTATCTCCTCCTATAATCACCTACCTACCTACCTACCTACCTCTCTCTTGCACTAAATATTTACATAGAGATCATGTTCTTCAGAACTAGAGGCTAGTGTTTATGTTAATCAGACTAATTTCTACTTTCTTGTCGTTATCATCCCATCATAGTTGTTGTTTATTATTTGACTCACTTTTTTTATAAAAAAAATATTTATTTTCACGTTTAACTCGTTTGGTGTTGTTTCAAGTACACATACCATACATACATACATGTTTTGACTTGTGTGTTTTGACATTTAGAATGTGCAAATATTTTTTTTTAATAATTATTGCTGACAGTTGACTCAATAAAAAAATTACAAATCATTCTGATCATTAATCAGTGTAATGGAATGGGAGAAGGTCATTTTATTATTCATCATAAAAAAATGAATGAAGACATTTCAAAGGCAGAAATCCATGAAGTCACTGACAAGTGGACTGAGTCATGTTGGTAGATGTAGACTACCTGGTTGGGGTCCGCGAGACGATAGTCACCAATGGTTAGAGACCTTGAACGATATGGCTCAAAATCGTTTACAATGGCACAAGTGCATCCATTCGTTGAGCTCTCTCAAATCCTCCTAATCTTCTGGATTTGTCATCACCTCTAGTTTTGACTTTCTAACCTTATCTCACTGAATTATACTTCTTGAATAATATCTTCGAACCCTATTCTTCTTCATTACCATTAATACCTCTACTATCTTTATCACTATGGGATTTGATTTGACATTTGCGTCTCTGTGCTCATGTGGTATGGCAACATGAGCTAATGTACATGCGTATGAAGTTCTTACGTTCCAACTGACTGACTGACTGACTGACATTTCAAAGAGAAATGATATCGTCTTATGAAACATCTTCATTCTTATTATTCCAGGAGTTAATTTCAGTCAGTTGGTTAGTTAACTAAAACATAGACCTTCGTGTACATACATACGTACACATCAGTTCAGGTGGCCACATCATCCATCACATTAGTAGCACAAAGAGATGGCAGATGTCAATTCAAATCCCACAGGATTAGAGGTAAGTGGGTAGATAGTAGGAGGTCACATTTAACCTAACTAAATGTTATAAAAGATTATAATTTGATCATCAGTTAGTACCTCATTTACATTTGACATTGTTTACGTTAAATTTGGTTAAGCCCTCTCTTGATTAGTTTTTTTTTTAACAGATAGAGTAATTCGAACAGTTAGTTAACAACTTGTCTACTATACCTTTGTACTTTTATGATTATTATCGGGCTTGTATGAGCATGTAGGCTTGAGTATTGGTTATACAAGACAGCCTAAGCACATATTCATCTCCTGTCACTAGCTAGTCAGTCGCTTAAATAATCCGGTGACTCATTTATTAGTGTATTAGGTGTGTAAGAAAAACGTTCAATTCATTCTTCCTATATCTCATACTCATCATCAGTCAGTCAGATGGATAATGTAGTTTAATAGGTACTTACTTCAGTAATATATAAGCCATTACTATTGGATACAACATAGTAATGCTTTCTCATCCTATTCACGATTGCCTATCAACATCCAATGTCTATTTCGACTTCGCTTCGTATGACCATAGTTTTGTAATATGTGTGTGGTGCGACGATGATAAACATCATCAACGCTTCGAATTCCTCTTCTGAATTATATACATTGTTGGACCACTGTCTAGTGTAACGGTAATCACAGCCTGCAATAGACGAGGTTCAGGAATGATATCGAATACCCAACCGCCACAATTGGGTTAATAATTTTCTAAGTTCAGTTGATAAAACGCAACAACATGGATTTACTTTGGCAACACTATACTTAACCTAGTAGACCTAACCATAAATGGTGAGGCAGTATATCAAAGTTTCATACCTTACCTTAGTGTAGTCAACTCAAAACTTCAGTATTCCTATAATTTGACCCTTTCAAAACAAGTATCCAAACATACCTACAAGTCTCAATATCTTGTGGGTTGCATAATTCGTCATCACTACAATAATGAATTACATAGTTTATCCAAACAGAATCAGTAGTTTTTGAGTTATGCCTTTCTGACAAGTACCAACTAGTGTGAAAACTCGATATAGGATAGATCGTCCTGTCGACTACAAACCCCCCCAAACCAACAAACATAATACTTATAGAATTTCATCGAATGAAAATATAAGCATCAGTGGTATCGGAAGGCATACGCAAAAACAAATGCAACAGAAGGCGACCAGAGTAGCTGTAGCCACCGAAACAGCAGGTCTAAACATCCATAAAGGGAAAAGCCAGATTCTCCGATACAACACACAGCATGCGCCAACCAAATCACTCTTCATAGAGAGATGCCTTCGAGGACGTGAATACTCTTACATATCTGGGCAGCATCCGATGCAAATGTGAGGGTGTGGATTGGCAAAGCAAAGGCTTCATTTCTACGACTGAACAACTTTCAACCAGCACCAAAATCAGGATTTTCAATACAAATATCAAGACAGTTCTAATGTATGGGGCGGAAAACTTGAAGAGCATATAAGTATTAATTAACAGTTTTCTACGCAAAATACTTCAGATTCGTTGGCTAGACACCATCAGCAACAAGGTGCTGTGGGAGAGAACAAACGAGATTTCAGTGGAAGAGGAAATCAAGAAGAAGCGGTGAAAGTGAATAGGACACACACGTGACAGAAAGCACCTAACTGCTTCACAAGACAAGCCCTCATTTGAAACGCTTAATGTGAGAAGAAAAGAGGAAGGCCACGGAACATATTACGCCGATAAAGTAGAGAAAGATATGAGAAGAATGAATAAAAATTGGACAGAACTGGAAAAGGAAACCCAGGACAGAGTTGGTTGGAGAACATTGGTCGGTGGTGGTCTATGCTCCATTAGGGTTGACAGGCGCAAGTAATTCAGTAGTCAGTCAGTTGCAACGTAAGAACTTCGTACGTAAGTACATCAGTTCACGTTGCCATACCATCAAATTAGCACAGTGACGCAATTGTCAAATCAAATCCCATAGTGGTAGAGATAGTAGAGGAAATACTGCTAATCAAAAAGATTACGTTTTGAAGATATTATTCAAGAAGTATAATTCAGTGAGTGAGATAAAGTTACAAAGACAAAGGCAGATGTGCTAACGAATTCAGAAGATTAGGAGGATTTGAGAGAGCTCAACGAATGGATGCACTTGTGCCATTACAAACGATTTTGAGCCATCTCGTTCAAGGTCTCTAACCATTGATGAGTAAGTAAGTATCGGGAAGCATACTTCCTAACAATTCAGAAATAAAACAACCCAACTACGCCACACCCCACCACCACCACCACCACTCAAATAATCACACACACCTACTTACCAAACATTGTTCTTTTGCAGTACATAGTGTTTCTAATTTTTCATATGTAATCAAAATACACTCGATATTCTCCTCGTGTTCTGCATTCTGGCAATGATCATTTTCACACGCTTCATCCTCCTCCTCAGCCTCCCCCACGTGATCATCATTATCATTATTATTATTATTCACAGATAGTGCTAATTCTTGAAATAATTCCAACTGATATTGTATTGTTGTTGTATTAGTAGTAGTGTAATAATTCATTGCATCATTAATGCATTGATAATATTTCTCCATAGATGGGATATAGACTAAAGATAATTGTTGAGAAATTTGTATAAAATAATTCAATAATTGTGTTAAGCATCGATCGATTTCATGATATTTTATAATGTGACGATTGATATTACTGTCATCATCAATATTAGTAGTAGTGGTAGTAGTAGTGGTAGTAGTATTACTGATTATCTCCATAGTAGTATTAGTAATAGTATCTGTATATAAACCATTTCTATCTTCTTCATTATTCATAATGATTGGTCGAATGTATTGATGTAACCAGTTGATTTCACCTTGTATAGCATTGATATGATCCTGTTGTTAGAAAGAAAAGGAAGAAGGAGACTGAGGTAAAGTGAAGTGAAGTGAAGTAAGGCGGTGCAATGAAAATCAACTGAACAAACGTTACCAATAATAAATATATTGTGATATGGAAATACCTTATTTTTTTTTTGTTATTCCGTAATAAATTAACATTTTACTGTGTGTAAGCGATTGTGGCGATTTAATAGACATCAGCTTCATATAAGAAGTTGTTGGTACTGATTGATTAATCATACAGACAGACAGACAGATAGATACAACGCAGAACTTCGTACGTAAGTGCACATCAGTTCAGGTTACCACCATACCACATCAGCGAAGAGACACAACTGTCAGTCCAAATGCAAGAGTGATAGAGATAATAGTAGAAGTATTAGCAGCAATGAAGATTGGGGAGCGAAGATATGATTCGAAAAGTATAATTCAATGACATGAATTTAGAAACCTGGAAGCACTGGACGGCCGTTTCGTCCTAGTATGGGACTCATCAGCAACGCGCATCCACGACTCCTGCATCCCGCAGGATTCGAACCCAGGACCTTCGGTATTGTGCGCGAACGCCTTAACCGTTTCTAATGGTGGTCTAACATTGATCGATTCATGGTTACAAATATAAAACTTAACAATCTTCACAACAACCCCGCAATAAATTTAGAAAGACAAAGATAGAGATTATGAGGAATGCAGAAGGTAAGCATTTCAGAGAACACAAAGAGTGGATGCACTTGTGACATTGCAAACGATTCTGAGCATGTCATTCAACATCTCTAACCATTGGTGACTTTCGTCTCGCGGACCCCAACTAGGTAGTCGACCACTTACCAACATGGCTAAGTCCATTCGTCAATGACTTCATGGATTTCTGCCATGTTTTGGTTTGGCCACCCCTAGCTTTCTTCCAACCTACTCCTACACCACGAAACAAAGCTTGTCGAATCAGTCAGTGGTTAGGCATAAACGTAACACATATCTTAACCACCTCAATCAGTTCAAATGTATTTGCAAATTTCACTGAATTTAAAAAAAAATACCTACCTAGTACTCTAGTACTGTTTAGGAAATTATCTTAACTTGATGATGGTAGGATTAGACTCTATATATATAACATAACATCATTTTACTAGAATGTGTATATACTTGAGTTTCCGTATATGACCAAAAATATATTTATGTATGACATTATTCAGGTCAATATTTCTTCTTGTACAATTCAACTTTGTTCAAGTGTGAAATTTGATAAATCACTGTATCAAATTCCGGTGAATTATTACATTCAACGTGTGTGTGGGCGTGTGTGTCTAGTATGGGTGTTTGTTTCTACAGTAACCACCTCTCATACATTTTCCCTGATAACTGATATTATTATCTATTTTTGATCTAATGGCTTATTGATATTGATTTAAAGAGATATAATTATTAGTAGAAAGACACATCTAAATATTTATGCGTAAGCTAGGACATTGTCCGGGGGGGCCCACACATTGAAACAGGTGGTCTTCTTGGGAGACCCTCTCCTACAGGTCTAATCCACTAGCCAGAGGAACAACGTTGAGAGTTGTGGTAGCCGGTGATCAACAACAGGTCCATACACTATTTGTTCCCTCAGGATCTTGAAACCTATATGCTTCAATGGTTGGTATCGAGAATTATCCAACTCCCTGGTTGGATATTCGTTTCTCATCCTCTCAACAACAACAACAACAACACTTGTCCGGTGAGAAGGCAGTGAGCAGGACTTCCTTGATAGTGAGTGGCTATATCTGGTCATTTCCACATTTGGAGAAGGGACTCTCATCACCACCACTACAAGGTGGGGGCAGTTAGTAGTACAACTTAATCATCATAAAAAAAATGTCTAGTGTAATTTAGAATCAACACATTCATACTTGATAAGTGAGTTTAACATCATAATTCATTTATATAAAATAAAATATCTACTTTTGTTTAGTAATAAAAAATAATTATACTTACTGAAATGATATTTACATGACACTGAAGAGAATTGGACTCAGGTAAATTATTATTCGGCAATAATAAAGCGTCAAATAATGATTGTAAAGTTGGTAGATAATTGAAAGTTGGTGATAAATTTTTAATTATTTGTTCATACGACCTAGTGATCTGAAAAAAATCAGATTAAAAAGTTAAACAGACTACATATATGTATATAGAAAAGTACAAAATTTTACGCTGTAATTGTGTGGTGTCAGCTACTTATAAGTAGTATATGACGTGAGTGTCAACGTAATGTCTGGCAGAAGAGAAGATGGGGGAAGATCAAGAAAGGAAGAGTTAGAAAACAATGGAATTTGTATGAAACGCATAAATAGTGACAATGGATTGATGTTTTGCAACAGGAACAACATTCCAGTTCGATCTGATGGACTGATATTTTGCAAATAAACGATTTTACTGAGTAACAATCCGGTTGCCCCACTTGTGTTCTCCTTCACTACAATCGTACAAGCAATAATAGGTCGATTATATTCGAAATGTATGGAGATCTCAGAAAAATGTTGCATTGCATTTTGTAAAGTAAATATATGTTGAGAAGAGAGAGATTCAGTTTTTTGAATGGGACAAGAAACGGATATCATCAATAACTGAAGAGTGATAGTCGGATAGAAGTGTGAATGAAGTGAAATTGGGAATAATTCAGTGATCTGGGGGAACTTAATTTAACCTTAAAGAAAGATAGTCCCTAAGTGTGCAATGTTGGAGGATCATCTCATACTAGACCCTTCGACAGTGTGGGCAGCCGCGAAGTAACATCCGACCTCATACCCATGAAAGCACACGAGACCGAATCGGTCACAATCATATTCTTTCTACACCTCTGAATAACTCTCTTATCTCCTCGACCAACCCCTTCCTTCGTTTATCACCTCACGCTACTGGAGCAAACGGTATGAGCTCTCGAAACATTATTCCTGGTCTCTTGAAACCCCGTACTAAATTACATATCGGAGCTTTTAATGTTCAAACCCTATGCCGAATAGGGTAACAGGTTTCATTAGCTAGAACTCTGAAATCCCGAACGATCGATGTATGTTGTGTCTCCGAAACGCGCATACAAGATCCGAGCAAAATCATGAATTTGATCTCACCTAGTGCAGCAGAGAGAGACACAACAAGGTTTAAGCTTCGTGTTTCTGGAAGCCTTGATGCCGCTTCTCGTGGCTTCGCCAGCTTAGGTATAGTATTAAGTCCTAGGGTAGAACTAGCACTCTTTTAGACTAGATCCACACAGACAGTCGCTTATGCGCTGTCCGACTGAACGGGACGGTACGAACTCGGAAAGATTTAAGACTATTATTAATAATGTTAGAGGACATGAAAAGTAAATGACTCGATGTAATAACATTAACATTCGCAAGAAACTAAACGTAGATAATATGACTAACTAGACAGCACAAAGAAATTAAATGTATAAGATTTTAGTACACCCAAGAAATTATAAGGAAATCGGTCAGTCAGTTACAACAAAGAAGTTCGTCCGTGAGTACATAAGTTCAGGTTGCCAAATCACATCAGCACAGAGATGCGATTGCCAGTTCAAATCACATCTATAATCGAATACTAATAACCTACAAATATCTTCTACTCATTACCAGCCATGTAACGCATCCATATAGTGTAGTACGGAGCGAACTGATGCTTAATACACTCGTCCTTTGGTTAGCAAACGGATATACCTTGCCTACACCATAAGTAACACACCAGATCCCAGTGGAGGAGGAAATCAGGAAGAAGTGGTGGAAGTGGATAGGACACACACTACGAAAAGCACCGAACTGCATCAAGAGACAAGCCCTCACATGGAACACTTAAGGTAAAAGGAAAAGAGGAAGGCCAAGGAACAAATTACGCCGAGAAATAGAGAAAGATATGAGAGGAATGAACAAACATTGGACAGAACTGGAGAGGGAAGCCCAGGACAGAATTGGTTGGAGAAAACTGGTGGGGGCGGCCTATGCTCCATTGGGCATAACAGCCGTAACTCAAAAACTCAACTACACCATAAGTGACGAAAGTTGACAAAACCCAGTCGAGCCTTCTGTATAGGTGTGTTGAGATTTCGTCAGTCACTAAACCATCAACAGTTGGAACAATTGTTTGTCTACTGTTACTGATCATCATCATGTGATTATCGTGTGGTTTTTTTTCAAGGTCACACCATACATCCATTTCAATTATTTCCATAAATAGACAATTACTATTGGCTGGCGGCTAAATTGATATCTTGTATTGTATATTCATTCATTCATTCAGTAATAACTACACACCCTGAATAATTAATTTATGAAAATTACCACTTATAAAAAGACTCTAACCTAAATTTAATTGATGTTTCTTTCAATTTATTCAACATATGGCCCAAATTTCGAAAGAACAAAAAAACAAAACACAACTCTCTTTAGGGAAAAAAGTAAAACCAACTAATTTGTTTGCGCCTTTCGTTTTTTTTATTATTGAAGTTAATTATTCACTCCTCTCCTAAAAAGGAAATGATTTCAAAATATAACTAAAAATCGTTTAGTTTGAATGATAAATGTATCTTAATGTACTTCTTTATTTGTTGTTGTTGTTGTTGTATTCAGGCCATTAAGGTTATTATTATTAGTATAAACACTAGTAGATATCATGAACGAGAACACACACACACACGAATACACCCGCAATTGATGAACTGGAATTTAAATTCAATCATTAATCGATAAATATTGAATAATCATGTTTTATTCAATCTTGCTTGTTGTTTATCTTTTTGCCAATGTAAACTGAAATTAATTACCTTTTTTTGTATGCTATAACCACCACTGTGGTGCGCGCTACTTATAAGTAGTATATGACGCTAGTGAAAACGTAATGTCTGGCAGCAGAAAATGGGGGAAGATCAAGAAAGTAAGAAGAGTGGGAACACAATGGAATTTGTGTATGAAACGCATGAACAGTGAGTGAAATGTCAGACAATGGATTGATGAATTGGATTGAAGATTTGCAAATTAACGATTTACGATATGGTTTTCCTATTTTTACTGCCCTCACCTGTGTTCTCCTTCACTACATTTGGTGTCGCTGCCTGCAAGAAGGAAGGATCTCCCATGGCCGAATGAGTTTGAGGCCGTGGTGGGGCTGGTGGGCGTGAAGGGGCCCGGGGCGGAGTTGGTGGTGCTGGGGACGCTGTGGGGAGGTGAGGCAAAGGCTGTATACGACAGCTTGGACGGTGCCGCCGGGAAGACGGTCACGGAGAGAATAGTGACGGAGTTCGTCGGCCCAGTGGACAGGGAGAAGGCGCCGCAGTATCCTCCCTCACTACACCACCACCACCCAGTATTTGATGCATATACTTATTGAATGAAAATAATCCAGTAGTATTATGTATAAATTAATATTCAATGACTTATGATAGATATTATTTGAACGATTTTTTCTCGTTAGTGTCTATTTCGGAGAGTTAGTTTTCTACGAGATAAGGTCGTTCCGCCTTTATCCGGTCTTGGGATCGCCAGAAGCCCCCTCCATAGGGACTCCAGGCAATCGATAGAATGCAGATTGAGGAAAGCACCCAACTGAGTCACAAGGCAAGCCCTCATTTAGAATCCTCAAGGCCAAAGGAATAGAGGAAGGCCAAGGGGGACACATTGCGCCAAGAAATGGAGACAGACATGAGAAGAATGAACAAAAATTTGACAGAACTAGAAAGGAAGGTTGGGGACAGAGTGTGTTGTAGAATGTTCGTAGGCGGTCCATGCTTCATTTGGGGGGGGGGGTAACGAGCTTAAGTGAGTAAATAAGTTATGCGATTGTTAATTTTGTAGTGAGTGATCATTTCATGGATCAGCTAGTCATAAATTTGCATTCATCCAAGATAAGTATCGAACAATTCGAAGTAATTTAAATAGTCCTGATAATCCAGAGAGATAAACATTAAGAATATAATTTAAGAAGACTGAATGAAAAGGCATACAAAGTAACAATACTGGAGAGCTAAAGATCTAGACAAAGGATAAAGAGTGAATCCAACTGTTTAACAGTGAATAATTTCGAACCTAGTCATCCAAATATCTTCAACTACTTAAATATAATTTTCCTGCATCCATCAACAGAGGACCAGATAAAAAGAAACCCGTTAATTAACTTGATTGTCATATTACCCTACAATTAAAAATTGCGTACATTAATGTAATTGAGTTTATGATCTATTTCTCGACAATCTAATCATCTATATTCCATAGTAGTCGTTTCCACTTTAGCACATACGGGGGTAGGAAAGATTTGATTTTGACCAATTTGGTCTCGTGTGCTGTTACGGGTATGAGGGCGGCTGCCCACACCATGGAAGGTTGTTTCTTGAGGAACCTGAAAGGAAAGGTAGATTAGAGTTGGTCTTAAAGACCTGGTTACGTGACCACAGAGTCCAAGGGGCAACTGCTTCAGGCCGATCACTCATGGCCTTTTGACGAAAGGTTTTTCGAGTATTAGCTCCGCTCTTAAAAGCCCTTGGTGGGCAGCTGTTACAGTCGAAGACGGAAATCCATGAGGTAGGGTGAGGTGTGACATTTTTAGGGCCGACCTTTTCTAACCCTTCCTTCCTTGTGAGAAGGCAGAATCACAGCAGATGCTGGTTGTCCGAGGGAAACACCTTACTGCTGTCACACCCCTCTACAGTCAGTCAGCAGTACGACTTCGCCCTCAGACCTTGGGTAGCTGCTTTCAGTCTCATCGTCCTCTAATCGACCTGCCTGGCATAGTAGAACCTTCAGAAACATATGTATGTTCCGGCCAGTCATCATGACGATAGGCAAGCCCGACCACCACGTGTCAATGGTAGCAGCTACAGTCGGGTTTAGCACATACAGTAAACAAACTGTATAATTCGTCGTCTTCAGATAGAAACACTATTTCTCTCTCTCTCTCCAGCTAGCTCATCATTCATTCATTCTCTCATTAACCTAATAATTGAAAAATTATAAATTCATTTACTAATCAATAAAACTACTACTACTACTACTACTCACCAATTCATTCAATTTCTTTGGTATTAATTCTAGAATTAATTTATTCCATAAATTATACACCATCAAAGGTAAGTGTAGATTATGATTAGTATTATTATTATGATACAGAAATGCAACGAATTCTTCTAGTCTAATATGATGATCATTAATGAATTGATCATAGTCTTGTAATAATGGTAAAAGTTTATGACAATGATATTGTGATAATATGTGAATAAGATTGTAGAATACAATAAGATCTTGTTGTAAGTGACCATGATTATTAGTAGTAGTATTATTAGTAGTACCCGTATAATCAATATTCATCATCGGTGAATCGCTTAATTCTGATTGTATTGTGATTGCATTGTGAACTTGATCAAAGCCGATTTCCAATTGTCTCATTATTTCCATGATCCAATGATATTCTATTTGAAAAGTATTCATTAAATGAGTGTATTTTGCATGAAAGTTATTTAAATATGTAATTTTATTTTGTAAATTCATTTGCATATCATATAATTCTTCTTCAATACAATTCAATTTATTGATGAACTCATTAGAACAACAAGGCATAGATGTAGTAGTTGAGGTAGTTGTAGTAGTCATGGTACATTTTAATCGTTGTAAATTTCCTTCAATATAAATGAATTCATTTTGAATTTCTTGTAAATCATGCATTCGTTTGTCGAATTTATCCATCCCCATCATCATCATCATCATTAATGACGGATTGTCATTTGTCGTCGTCGCGTAGGAGTAGTCAGGATCATCAAGTTTATGTGCGAGTGAAACTAAACTCTCACTGATGTCATTCAATTCTTCGTTTATATTCAATGTAGAATGTGGCATTGTTTGTTGTTCTAAACGTGCAACTAATTGATCACAACGTCGTATTAAATCAGCACGTATAGATTTCAATGTTGATAAATGTGTTGGAATGTAGGCTTGATCATTTTTTTCTTCTGGGTGTAAAATAATAAAGTTGAAAAAAAAAACAAATTAATCTCCATATTTGGGGAAGTACACATTTAAATGTTCTATACAGTGAAGTTATTGTTCATCTAATCGTATAATAATTGTCTACTTGGAAGTGTGGTGTGAGCTACTTATAAGTAGTATATGACGTGAGTGTCAACGTAATGTCTGGCGAGCAGATGGGGGGGAAGATCAAGAAAGGAAGAGTTAGAACACAATGGAATTTGTGTGAAACGCATGAACAGTGACAATGGATTGATGTTTTGCAACAGGAACAGTCCAGTTCGATATGATGATGGACTGATATTTTGCAAATGAACGATTTACGATATCGTTTTCCGATTTTACTGAGTAACCCTATAATTTGTGATAAATACAATCCGTTTGCCCCACCTGTGTTCTCGTTCACTACAGGTAGACTTCATCGACTGGATCTTTGGAATCGTTTGTGACTGACATAATATAATTGTTAAGATATGACAAGAAGAAAACGTTTGATAGCCAACTATTCTCTAGTTTGTATAGATTTATAAACACATACCCATATTTTTACGCTGAGATGATTGTGAGCAAACTCTGTCTGGAGAGCTTCTAAGGCTACACTGTCGATCCCAAGCCCGGATAAAGAAAAAGAATTGTGATGGAGTTTCGTTCTCTTATATGGTTGGTTGGTTTGGTTGTGGATCTTTCATCCTTATTCTTCTGAACAACAACATCATCATTAGCACAAACTACGCGGTAGAAGTGAAGTCTTCGAATTTCACCGCATTTGACTCGTACCTTGTTCTGTTAACCTCAGTCTTGATTGGTTGTTGTTGACCTTAAGCCTGTCGTTGTTTGAACCTTTATTTTGATTGTATCCCTCCCCTTTGACCTGTTTCTTGATACTATGTTCGCCTATGATCTGAAGTTTGTGCTGATGATGTTGTAGTTCAGAAGAACAAGCATAAAAGCTCCACAACCAAAACATCCAGCTTAGAAAACGAAACGCCACCACAATCATTCACCATCTCAAAGAAACCGAATGTTGGTCAGTGGGTTATGTTTCATTAAGGTTAAAAGGCGTTAGCAGATAAGTAAGAATGTGAGTGAGTAATTTTTCATCAGTATGAGTTAATTGTAAATGTCTTTCCTGGATTTGTGTCTAGTGTATTCTATTTAGTAGGATTTAGGCGGCCTGTCGATTACATGAGAAATATAACAACACAGTTATTAGTGGACTATATTGTATGCAATATATATATACTAGAACGAAGTTGTCAGTCAAAATACAATTCAATGATTTCTTCTAATGTTATACATAAACTTGAATCAAGCCTACTTGATATGGTTGTTCTTTCTCTCAACCAATAATACTGATTCGAAAAATCAAAGTTTTGACAATTAAATTAAACACATTTGAAATCAATTATCAATCAATTATTATTAGACCACCATTAGAAAGCTGAAAGCACTGTACGGCCATTTCGTCATGGTATGGGTTTCATCAGCAGCGGTGCGCATCCACGACTCCTGCACCTCACAGGGTTTGAACCCGGGACCTTCGGTCTTGCGCGCGAATGTCTAACCTCTAGGCCACTGTGCGACCTCTAATTGAGAAATTAGATAAAACTATCAACTGTAGATTTTCTAAAATGAATATATTCCTTTCGCAAATATTTGCACGAGAATTTTTATACAAATTCATTGTGTTGTACAAACGCAAAATAGCTCAAAACGAAGACAATCTACAGCCAAAAGTATACTTCAAGATCACATAATGATTTGACAGCAAATTCATGTGAATATTGAAAGGATTCAATTATTTGAAAATTATGAACTTTTCCGGATTCGGTATGTGTGTGTGTGTTATCGAAAGTCAACTAACTAGCTGTAAAACAATTTAAATTTAAATTTTAAATTATCTTGCCGCAATTCGAAAGTATCAAGGTTGGGGTTTCACTCCACAAATTTCGAATGTCATGTTGCAAGTTAATTTCCGAGATTTTACTTTGGAATACAATGAATATTAACTACATTTTTCCTCCTTTTTATTTAATACAACTTATTAATTTATATCTTTTAATGTATCTGATGGATGGATGTAAGGGAGTGAGTAGTGACAAGTTGGACTGTACAGAGTACAAAACTGTACTGTGTATTGTTTGATTTGCATTACGGTGTTGTAAAGATTGTTAAGTTACACATTTTTGAAACCATGAATCGATCAATGTTAGACCATCACCATTAGAAGAAACCTGGAAGCACTGGATGATGGCCGTTTCGTCCTGGTGTATGGGACTCACTAGTGGCAGTGAGCGCGTCCACAACTCCTGCACCCCACGGGATTCGAACCCAGGACCTTCGGTATTGTGTGCGAACGCCCTAACCATCGGACCACTGGAGCCGGTAATCTAAGGGTTCTATCATTCAGTGAAATATTATAGTGAATTTTTTAAACACTGTCTACTGTTGAGTTTGGTTTTTACGTGTGAGGAGTCATGATGTGCACAGCTGATGTAAGGGAGAGACAAGTTAGACTGTACAGAGTACAACTGTATTCTGAATTGTCAATGAATGACTGTTTGATGAACAGAGAGTTGCTACTGTTAGTGATCTAGCATTGATCATTCAAGCTCTTACTTGAAACCCTCAAGGCAAAAGGAAAAGAGTAAGGCCAAGGAACAGATTACGCCGAGAAATGGAGAAAGATATGAGAGGAATGAACCGAAAATTGGACAGAAGTGGAAAGGGAAGCCCACGACAGAGTTGGTTTGAGAAAACTGGTGGGCGGTCTATGCTCCTTTGGGGGTAACAGGAGTAAGTATGTTAGTTAGTTAGTTAGTTAGTGTAAGATCCATTTTTTGAAATCTTTGTTTGTGAAAATCCCTCCATGTATATATTTGTAATTTGTTTGTCCTTATTGATTCCTTCAGTTGAACATTTTGTGAAGTCTGTTCGATTCCATTTTTGAGATGATAATATTTGTATTTTATTATAGTTCCTATTGCTTTTGCCTCACCCGAGTTTCTATGTTTCTTTCTGAACTGCATTTAGATTGTTTAAGTTGATACTTAGTCATGACGACAGCCTCCTCCTTTAATTGTGTTGCTTGCTTTTACTGGAATTGTGCATTCTGATTGTGAATTGAAGCATCCTTCCAGAAACAGGAAATATTCTGTGTTATAAAGCAACCAAATATTCTCTTACGAACGAATCTGATCTATCCACGTGGGATAGAATATCATTTATTTGTTGCTGTTGTAGATTTGATTAATTGAACAATTATTGGTGTAATAACTAAGTGGTAGGTAATATTTGTTTAGGTAATGGATGTTGTATATTTATATTCATGATGAATATTAGAACCGTTATTTACCATAAATCCACTTTTTTCCCCCCCGGGGAAAAAAAAAAATTTTTTTATTGTTCACTGTGGGCAATGCATATAT